GGGGGGGGGGGGGGGGGCTTCTAAAAAAGGGGTAAGAATAAATATCCTAGATATGTGAAAACTTCAACAAATCATAAATATAATTTGAACTTAATTTCGAGTGTGCTCTTTACGATTCTAAACAAGGCCCAGTAAACCTTTTTGGGCCGTTACGAGTTACGACGGTGTAAACCGTTCTTAAGGCACAAAATAAAGATTATCTACAAAAATCTTATTTGTAAAAAAACAAAGATAGTCTAAATTTGTTAAAATCCTCCAAGTTACTGCAGTACACTTTATTCAAAACAAAAATGCGCCAAAGTTGCAAGTTCTCATGCAAAAATCGATCATAATTTAGCGTGAGAAATTCTTTAAAACTAAATCTGAATCTGAAAACATTCTCTTTAGTTCTAAAATGAACAATTCTAGTGATAGAAAAAGTATTTAGTATGTTAAAAGGTTCAAATCAACGGCCAAAAAATAATGCAATTTTTAAATTCAGTTTAGCCCAGAACTTTGAAGACATCGAAAGAATTTATAAAATGTCGTCTTGATAATTTTTTAAGGATTTTACCTAAAAATTAATTATAAAAATAATTAAAAAGCCATAAAATATGCGGGAACAGTTTTAAAGAGCTCCGTGTAATTATTTGATTAAAAAACTTAATATCTGCAGCATTCCGTAAACAGTAGGTTGAGAAAACGACATTTTATACATTCTTTCGATGCCTCCGAAGTTCTGGGCTAAACTGCAGCTGTCAGGATCTCTGTGTGGTCTATAAGATTTTGACTAATAAGAACTGAATAAGAACAAATTTTATTTTTAACGTTTGATTTGGAAGCCCTGGATATAGTTATGGTGTCTGTGAACAAACAATATTATCGTGAACAATGATTGCTCAGGCCTGGCTCTCCCCTACTCAGGATACCAAGCCTGAGCTGAACTGAAAACTTTAGAATTGTGGATATCAATTTTGCGCGCCATTTAATGAGATAATTCTTATTTGTCAGAATCCAGTAGGGATATCCAAAAAAGGGGAAACGAGCGGATTCAGCAGAAATCAAAAGTGTCCAAAGTGGATATTTAAATTAAGCTATCGGTATTAAGAATATTTTTAAGTTTTTAGCTCTGGTTTACAATCATTGTTTACAACAAAAATTGTTCCTGAAAGCTGTCAGGAAAAAATCGAACATGATTTTACCAATTTCTCATTTTTAGCTAAAACTAAAAACAGGAAAATTGCAGTTTTGAAATCATGTCCGAGTCAACAAAAAGTATTAGTGAGTTGGAAGGTAAAACGCCCAAGGCAATGCGACACTTCAATGTTTGCGCGGTCTTAACCACTCTCCATATATTTTTATGTAAAGAAAGATACATCATAAACCCAGATATCTATGTTTACATATAAGTGTACGGCAATTTCATTTTTACGTTTCTTCCAGAAACTATACAGTAAATACTTTGTTATTAAAAAAAAATTTCCTGAAATATCTTATCTTCTTTGTTATTTACCGTAAAGAGCAGCAAGAGGAACCATGGGTTGTTGATGATGATGATGATGAACAGGACAAGGTTCCCCATCCCAGGTGTGAGAAGGAGGAGATAGCATAGGAACAGATTGAACTGATCGGATTGATCCTAAGTAACAAATTTATTGGTTAAATTGATCTTGATTTTTGCATATATTGAACGATCTATTGGTCGCAGGGTTTAGGGGGGGGGGGTTTGGAGGCTCTTTGATTTCTAGGTGGTTTTAGGTCCCAATAGGTGCTGAGCCCCCCCCCTGGAAAGAAAAAAAACATTAAAGAAACTTTTCAGAATTTAAGAATAACATTCTTCTTTGATTTCATATTGTTGTTGGGACACCCTGTAGGTTTCTCATATTGTTGGTGGGACACCCTGTATGTTTTGCATTATTTTACCTGTACCAGGAACCATCATGGGTAGGGACGGGGAGAACATGGGATATCCAACCATCACAGGGTATCCTTGCATCCTAAATAGAAATATTTCAAGGGATCAAAATCAACTGAAAACTCTTAAAAAATTATGAATTGAAAGAGGTGCGTTTTTATATTTGTTGGGTGCTGCAAAGTCACTAACCATAAAATGATTATTAACGTTTTTATTTCTATTAGACGTTTCTGTAAAAACAAAAATTGAATAAAACTTAACTTTATACTTGAGAATTGCAGGGAAACCCCTCTTTTCTCATGTCTGCCAGAAGCAAAAACGTTTTCACTGATATCATGCATATATTTGAAATCAAAGAAAGAACGATGAAAACTGTGATAAAAAATGTTCACGGTCAGGGGGTCAGGAAATTACGCAATTCTTACCAAAATTACGCAAAAAGTTTATTTATCGAAATTAGACAACATATATTCTCAAAGATTGAAATACATAAATGAGCTGAACTAAAGAATGTCGAAGTGTGGCCGAGGGGTTAAAATTACTATAGGATAGATGATACGGTATTAGATATTGATAGGTAGAGTTATAGTATACTGTTACAGGGTATACTAATTATAGAGTAATAGAGGGATAAATTTCATTCACCGAATTGGGCTGTAGATCCTTCAGATGCATAAACTGTGGGCAGACATTGTGGGGGGGGGG